AATTTGACTTCAATCCCGCGCCTACAAGTCCAGCATTCTCAAAGTTCAACAGGCAAAGTATAGATACTTTTGTGTCGAGGAGTAACCGAAACAGTTACATGTCCTCACGAACGGTGAAAAGTCAAATGACGGATGCTGGAACACAGACGGATGTGGGCACAACACCCGAGACAACCCCCAGCCCAGGTCAAAGCGAAGACGGTTTTGACAGGTCTACCCGCACGCAAATTCCCGAGGTCACAGAAGAAGAGGAGGAAGTTGATTACACAAAGGTCGACCTGACTCCAATAAGACATTTGAGCGGAGCCCATACTCCTCTCAGTGCGACCAGCCACAGTAGCACAACAGCTGTGGAACAAGACACCCTCAAAGTCGAGCCCAGGGATGACACTGACAAGGCCTCGAGCAACTATGACAGCGACAAGGACGACAAGAGCAGCCGAAACGCCGACAATGAGGATGATTCCGAGAGCGAGGCGGAGGAAGATGAGGAGGAGGAACCAGTAGTGTTCGAGGTGGCTGCCGTTCAGCCGGCAAGAACCCAGGCTGTTGCATCCCGCATGATCCACGCCAAGGGCAACATGGTTACCATTGGCAAGAGAATTCCTCCCCCACTGCCCATGAGGAGCCCTGCTAGGGCCTCGAGATCCAGTAAGAGCGAGATCGGCGATGTTTCAAACCTCCGAAGCCCTCTGAGAAAGGAGGCTTTCAGCGAGGAGGATCTTGCTTCTGAGGATGAGCAGACCAAGTCTGATTCTTCACCTTATCTCAAGCCCCAGGAGTTCAAGGTCGAGAAGGTCAGAATCGAGGCTAAGAAGGCAGAAGAGCCCCAGCCTGAGGAGCCCAAGATTGATAAGCCAAAGGCAGAAGCACCTAAGACTGTCGAGACCAAGGCCCAAGATGACACATCCTCCGAATCTGAGGTCGAGTTCTCCCCAGCTGAAGAGGCGAAGACGGACATTGCCAAGACCGAGGAGTCTCAAGCAAAGGAGCCTGATACTGAGCCCACCAAGGTCGAGGAGGCAAAGGAGGAGGCTGCAACTAAACCCAAGGTTGAGACCAAGGATGCTCAGACATCACCTAAGCTTCCCCAGACTGAGCGACCCGACAGCCCCGTGACACCTGAGAAGAAGCACACATCATCTATCTACACTGGAGTTACTGATGACCGATGGAGTGTCGATGGTTCAACACTTACAACACCTACATCCGACCGACCTTTCTCGGTCATCGACGACGCGACTGAAGATGTGACCCCACGGAAGCCATCAAAGGAGGCTGAACCAACTGAGCTGAACGAAAAGCACGAAGACTTGAAGAAGATGACATCGAATGAGACAACCCCCAACACGATCACGGTTGTATAATTGAGGACGACGATGGTTTTACATCAGTAGATGGGACACGGCGCATGACCTGAACTTTTCATGGGTAATCACTGGTGCGGTTTTTTTTTTGAGAGAAGTTTTTTTTGCGCATTCTTGTCAATACTTTGGTGAAAATGTACGTTATGATGGGCTCTTTGTGTTCGGGGGTCAACTTTTGACCCCTAATGGCGTTTGTTGGGTTGGTCATAACCACTTTGTCAGTTTTCTCGAGCAGCGCATAGCTTATACCAGCTCGAGAAGCAAACTGATGAGAGGAAGAATGGGGTATTGGTCGTTGTACTGGATGTGCCATGGGATGGGAAGGATGAGACGAGACGAGATGAGACGAGTAAGACTTGAACACATGGATAAAAAGGAAAGGATCCTTGAAGAAAGCAAGTGATCCGTGTACCCGGAGTTAGTTGTGGTTTCTTGGAGGCATGGCCTGGTATAGTCTAGAGGTCAGACTACGACGAAGTATTATTCCTAATGCCATTGAATAGATACAGTATGAACTGGCTTTTATTGTTTCCTATACTTGATTACGATGTATTTGTTTGAGTGAATGAATAAACGAATACCTAGTTTTTGGCTGGCACTGCGCTGCACTGGCAGCTTTGACAGTGGCAGCAACAATAGCTCAATTGTTTGCTCACACTACGTCTGAGTATTTAAAAGTACATCTTGGATAGAAATTTACAACTCATCAAGTTTGAGTCTCATTTTGGCTTCTTGATACTATTTAGAGCACATTCTGAGCAAGTTTTGAGGCTGTCATCCAATGTCATGATGACCTATAGAACTCCAACCAAGCAACAAGACACGGGCGGTCACGTGCATCACAGCACTCAAGATGCTGCGACACCAGCCACACTCACGCCTGTCGCGTCTTCACCCCGGTACCAGCTACGGGCGCGCAAACCTCGAGAAGCCTCGCCAACACCAACGCGACGAAATAACGGCTCTGTAACGCCATCACCACTTAAATACCACAACCACTATAACTACCAGTACAACAGCCTCGATCTCAGTGCAAGTGCGAGAAGGCGAAATCGCACAATGTCAAGCACAGCCGGCAAATGGCGCGAGGAGCAGGTCCTCATCATCTGCCCTGGCAGTAGAACCACTATGGCTCAGCTGGGTTGCAGTGAATTGACTCCTCCTGCTCGGCGCATGCCTACCAGGATGTTTAAGGAGGGCGATCAGTGGGCGCCTTATCACAAGACGAAGCGCACGGCTATTGTTAATGGCGTCGAGGAAGATGAATGGTTGGAGGATGTTGATGAAGACGAGGGAGCTGTGTATCCCATTGAAGGTATATACAGCCATTGAATGGCGTGGTAAAGCTAAGGGACTCAATGCTAATTGCGCTTGTTTGTAGCTGGTCGCATCGTCAACATGAGCGCACTCCTCGCTTTCCTCGATCATGTCCACGGCTTGCTTACAACTACATATCACAACACTCCCATCATGCTCATGGCTTCACCACAATGGACACGACCCGATTGCGAGACAATTGCCCGATACGTCTTTGAGAATACGAGAACACCTGCGCTATGCATAATTCACAGCGGAATCGCTACGCAGTATGGTCTGAAGTGGCCCAACATGACTGTGGTGGATATTGGCTACCAAAAGGTCGACGTTACAGCAATTCATGATGGGCGGGTCGTAAACCATATGGATGTCAGCGCATCTGATGCTGATGGTGAAATTAGTGGAGGCGAAGTTTTCACAAAGAGCTTGCTCAAGTTGCTAGAAAACAAGGGTTTCAGCCATGACATGGCCGAGCAGCTCAAGAAGAGCAACATTTGCGAAGTCCTCCCGTACGTTGCTACCGAGGAGAAATTGATGGAACTTCCCACGGAGAACACTGCAGGCGCAACAGGTGGTCAACCAGCTTCTGCGATGGCAGAAGCTGCTACAAAAGCCCCTGAAGTGCCCAAACCCACAGATAATGGAGATGCTGATGAGGGCAATGGTAATGCAGAGGATGATGGAGTTCTAGATGTCGCAGCCATCGTTACGAGCGGGCAGACAAAGGAATTCCTCGCCAAGAAGGAGAAGGAGAAAGAAAAGGGCAAGGGAGGTCGAAAGAAGGGCGAAAAGGATGCCGAGGGCGCCGCTAAGGCTGCGCGTCTACCCAACTCCAAGAGGACTCACAACACCTTTTTCTACGAGGAGATTGTGCAGGAGGAAGTGCCCCCGCCATCAAAGGAGAAGGAGACTGCAGAGACCACTGCGAACACCACCAATGGTAATGACACAACAGAAGCCCCCAAGCCTGAGGGCGATACCAACGGAGCTCAACCTCAAGGAGAAAACACCGCTGCGCCTGCGACAGAGACACCGGCGACAGAAGCGCCCAAGCCAGAAGAAGCTCAAGAGCCAGCGCAGTCGATAGAACCTAAGCCTGACGCTGAGCCAAAGCCCGACGCTCAACCTACCACCGAGACCCCTGAGAAGCGACCAAAGCGCATTCGCCGAGATGTTGAGGTTGGTCTTGAGCGCTTTACTTTCGCTCAACGTCGTGAGATCGATCGCATCGTCAACGCCATCTATCGCACTGTTCAAGGCATCGATGACATGTACATGCGGCCTCAATGCTGGGACAACCTTGTCTTTGTTGGCAATGGTGCTCGTCTCCGTGGCCTCCGCGAGAACATTCTCCAAACCCTCAACGCCCGTCATCTCGTCTCCCCTTCCACCGCCACAATGTTCACATCAGAGCTTCCCTCTAACATGGCGACGCCCACTGGCACTGGCGCCCAAACCCCCACTGGCTCTTTCACAGGCGCACCTCACCAGCTTTCCTCAAGCGGCGTGAATCCCCTGCTCCAAGCCGCTACCACGGCTGCAGCTGCAGGCACCACCGCTAACAACATGGTCGGCACGCCGCAGCCAGCTTCTGAGGCTGGAGGACCTACTACTCACCACTTCCACAGCCAGACTCCCACGAGCATCAAGACGGCTACTCTGCCGAACTACTTGAGCGAGTGGACAAAGAATGGCTTCGAGGAGTCTATGTTCCTTGGTGCTCAGGTCGCTGCTCGTATTGCTTTTTGCTTACACTCCAACATGGATGCCCAGACCATTGAGGCCCAAAGGCTTATGAGTTTGAGCAGAGTTGATTATAAGTAAGTTCTCTACCATTCACCGCCTACCTAAGAATTTCACTAACCATGTTGAAAGCGAACTTGGTCCCAAAGGTATTCGCACACATTCTATGCTGGGCTAGAATCACACAACGAGCTGATAATTTTATGTCATTATACGGGTTTCTCGTTCACATGGTCTCAGCAAGACTTTCAGATGGTGGACTTGAAAGAGGAGTTATTAAAGGGGCCAGCGAAATGGTAAAAGGAAGACGCAAAATGCAACGAGATGTGAAGATGAGTGGATGGGAGCGGGCATAACAGCAGAGCAGAAATGAGATAATACCATAGATTCGAACATGTCTTGTATGATTGTTTACACAATCAGTTACTCGGAAGAAAGCCTGTCACGGATAGAACTTGCTACAGTTGTGTACACAAGGACATGAATACTCAATTCCGGTTAAGATATCACACTACTATTCGGCTGTATTGCACCGGTTTCAACTGAAGCATTATAACGACCCCCGTATAATCGTCAACATTCCTCGTCAACTGTCCCTCCTTTTCCTATCACCACAAGTAATAATCACTGCATAATTCCACAGTACTTGCTTTGACTCCAATAAATGCAAGACGGCCCAAGACCAACAAGAAATATCAAAGGCATATGCCACTAACCAGCCGCGTTTCGTAGGGCTGCTTCGTCAGCAGCCTTGTGCCAGTCGGTTCGGAGTAAATAGATATACTCAATCGATGCGACACTTTCGAACAGTTAGAAAACATTGCTTCTAATACGGGGGTTATTTAACTTACGACATAGTGCCAACTGTGACACCAATCCATAGACCACTCAGCTTCCAATCGAGGCCAAAGGCGAGGGCGAGCGAGCATGGGAGAGAAAGGGCGTAGTATGCGATGATGTTGGCAGGGCCGCCGATTGATTGTTTTCCGATACCTCGGAGCAGTCCATGAGCACCAGCTGCAAGACCATCAAAGACTTGCATAACCGACACAATGGGCATGACTGCTGCAACAAGATCAATAACATCATCGTCCTTAGTGAACAACAGCGGTAGTTGATAACGCAAGGTAGTGTATATAGTCAGGTTGAACATCCCGATGATGCAAGCAGCAACAAAAGCCTAGACCTCATTAGTAGGACACCACAAATATTGGTTTAACAGTAAACTTACCACGACACCAGTCATCTTGGCGGGTTCAACAAGGCCAGCACCAATCAAGTTGGCAATACGGGTTGAAGCAGCAATTGACATAGGGAATGGAATCTCGTATGAAAGTGTTGTGATGGTTGTTACCACGCTCTGAGCAGCAAGATACTCGGGTCCAAATCGACTTGAGAGGAGCGTGAGGATCTCGAAAGCCAGCCATTCTGCCTCCACCATGATCATACCGGGCAGAGCAAGTCGAATCATGATCCACCAGTTGCTGAGAGCCCGTCGACTGAAGCCGCCCCAGCATTGTCGTCCATCCACGAAGCGGACATACAAGAAGAGGAATATGGGGAGAAGGTTGTTGCTGATGGCCACAGCTGTAGGAGCTCCAATGAAACCCCATTCCAACTTCCAAACCAGGAGCCAGCTGAGGAAGACGTTGAAAGGTGCAACAATCAGGAGAACATAAGTCGTAGCGCGGAAGAGACCTTGAGCTTGAGTGAATCGCTTACCACCCTCGAACAGGATGAATCCCGGAATACTGAAGATCATGACCCTGAGATACATACCAGCAAGCTTTGCTGACTCGGGTTCTGGAACAATGGCTCTAATGATACCTTCGGAAAACCACCACAAAACAGCAACAGGGAAGCCGAGGACGAACAAGAAACAAGTCATTCGCTGAAACTGAAGCCCAACAAGGTGCTTATGGCCAGATCCATATGCTTGCGCACATAGAGTGTCAAGAGAGGTAGCAAGGCCCTGAAAAGGCGCCAAACAAGTAATAGCGGCGGTCATATTGGCCACTGGATAAGTCAGTCTCAATTTGCAGTTATTTCGTGAATATCTAGCTTCAGACTTACATGAAACAGCACCAAGTTCGAGCTTGCCAATTCGCCCAACAGCAAAGATACTGGTGACATTAATGGAGTATTGCAACAAAAAGGTGACGATGAGTGGTGCGGAATAGGTCATGATGGTCTTGGCCTCTCGCTGCCAAGTGGTCTTGATTCGATGCTCAGCAACAGCGTGTTCCCACGTATCGTTGAGATGCTCGGGTAAAACACCGTCATCACGGGAACCCAAGAGAGGATCTGTTTCGCATGGAGGCTGCACAGTCATAGCAGGCGTCTCCTCTTCATCCCGCGAAATCTTTGTACTAAAAAGACGACGATAGATGCGAGTAAAAAGCCCATGCTGCTGTCGATATCCGTGCTTGGGGGAAGAACATGGTTGTCTCGCAGCAAGCTACGCTCAGCATTACGAGACTGCTTCCTCTCTAGAGCTGTCAGGCCTGGCTCATCATACGTCTGAGGGTTCATAATTGGTCGTGAGCCTCCAAAAGCAACACCACTGGGTCGACGATACATGATGGGGTCGCCCTGAAGGTCTGACACAGAGACATCGTCGTCAATCGCATTGTCTTCGAACTCGTCATCCGAGCATGCCGCGAGATCTGCAGCCAGAGCAGCCTCAGCTAAAGGCGAGCCCACACGCCATGAAGACGACAACGCAGGATGTGCGCCAGTACCACGAGGAGTGCCAAAAGGCGAGACTCCAGCTCCTCGTCCTATTGGATCCATATTAACTCACAGTCGCCTCCGCTGGAATCTTTTCTTCAAGCAGATGAAAATTCAGACGACAATTCTGCAAGGATCACACGAAAGAGACTTCTTCAGAGTGCAACAAGGGACGCCACTGAGTCAAATGGTGGAGTGGGAAAAAGTTGAGTGATACAAGGTAGTCAAAGTGAGTTCAATTGTGCTGTCAACCCAATGCATTGAGCTCAATGCGCAGATCGCAATAGTGAAGAGAGAGAGACAGAGAGGAACAAAACCAGATAAGAATATGAGGAGGCTGTATAGATATGTCGTTGTAGTCAAATCACTAGGCCCGATTGAAAAGAGGCAATAAAGCCGATTTTGCTGTTAGTCTGACTTTGCCATTCGAGCTAGCGTCAACTCAGACCCGCCTTGCCACAGCAAAAGGGCGCCATTGAATTGCCGTAAAGGCGGCTGACCCTGACTTGGTGGAGTCTTACCACTTCTGGTCAAAGACACGCATCTTTCGATTCGCAATGTCGTGATAGGCGCATTGTATCTCAGCCTCTCTTTGACATGATGCGGGGGTGGATCGTCAATAAGGGTTGTGGTTCGTGATGCCCAGATCTGGGATCATGGTTAACGGTGTGACCCGAGCTTGCATGGGTGAGGCTCTGAATTATAGTTCGTTCTCCGTTGCAGATATCTCGTCTAAGTCGATTGGCTCAAATTCTCGGCCAAGCCCATCGGCAGCCTTATCATGACTCCAACATCATGAACTCCATTCATTAACCCCAAGTCTGTCCCGCCCAGTCAGGCTCTGTATGGGACATTGACGCAACCCATGGTATCTCCTCGCTTGCGTAACGTTGTAGTGGAGTGTTGTACGGCATGCGCAACCCAACTATCGATGTGCATCTCTCCTTTTGTCCTGTACTTTGTGTATTCTCCGGCATGTCCGTCTTAAAAGTGCCTACCATGATTGAATCTTGTTCTATCAACTCTGGCCATATTAAGACACCAATCTCCCATGATGCGATACGCATTTCGCCTGATGGTCTGGCTGCCTCGCCCCAAGCTTGTTTTGAAATATTGGCCGACGTTAAAAGACCCCAGTCTATGGACGATTTGTTTGACCGAATGTACGTCTTGATATGCGGTGCTGCCCTTTTGCGACCACTATCTCGCAAAGGGGTGTCTTCGGGAAGTTCTGTGAATCATTAGGCAAAAGGTCCAAGAATTGCGTAGAGGTAAGACTCACTAGCACCAAGGGATGAGTCATTGGCCCAATGATAGAAAATTGGGCGAAGGTATTCCAGTTGTTTCGCTTGCTGTGATGACTGGATCTTTGTGTGTATGGAACCCCCCGACGCATATCCGTCCAAGGATCGCCGGATCTCATCAGCTGTAGGAAAGACAACCTTGAACCTGGGCCGCCCAGGGCCTGGGTTTTTAGAACGAGTCAAAGGCTCAAAAAGAGTTTTTTGTAGCCAATCATCCTTTGCACCCAGAGTGGCAATCGAAGAAACTTGCACAACAATATCTGAATCACGGTGATCTTGGCATGGTACATCTTGCAAACACCTTTTCAGAGCGGCCCAACCCCATGAAGTTTCCGACATATCCTGGGCATCGTGTTTGCCCGGTACACTCGCAACCAGCGCAGCTTTAATACTTGAGAAGTCATAATGTGTAAGCTCATCGATTAGCGGTTTGCAGATGATCGTACGCCTGTCATAAGCCTTGAGGTAGTTAAGAAGATCGATTTTGAAGCGCTGTCCGCTTCCAACAGAATGATCTTCCGGTGAAGCTTGAATGCTTTGTGCACCTGACATTTTGGGGAGTAGAGGTGATTTCCAGACGCCGTTGGTCATGTTGGTCCAGTCCTTTGAGATCATGTTAGCAGTATGGATGATGATTTGAGCAATGTCATCATGTCTGAACAGAATCATCATTTTTGAATGGTGTGTCCCGAACATTTCTGGCATGGGGGCGATATGGATCTTGACGTTTTCAAATTCCGAACCTGCGTTCTAGTAAGAGTTAGAGCGTAAAGGCATATCTCTAAAATCTCTGAATAGAATATTCAGTTTCATGGCCCGACCACATTCGACTTACCTCCAACGCTATCCGATTCCCATCTTCGCGTTTCCAGAAGCCGTGCACTAGATGCACCTTAACGAGGTGGCGTGTATCAGGGTCAAAAGAGTTCATGAGAAACGGGATATCGTGTAGGAAGTTAAACTCCCAACATTCTGAGATGAGAGGATCGCCTAGGAGGTCCTTAAGAGTCACGGCATCCTGGTTGTCACTCTCTGGGAGATCCTGGATCCAGGTCAATTGCCATGGGGACTTCACAACAGCTGTTTTTCTGTCCCTCTTTCTAGGGGGGCTTATAGAACGCTGCAGTGACTCTGGTGTTTGGGCATCAGGCTCCTCCATTCGCTGGCGTTTGACTGGACGATCCATTGTGGTAGTTTGGTGGTAGAGTCTTGCTGAAGGGATCTGTCGATACTGGCTGGCTGGAAAAAGACACTGACATATGGGCGTGAAGTGGACTTGCGGGTAGTTTCTTGATATAATGCGCCAACGAGGGCTAGTTGAGAAGCTCGAGATCAGTCGCGAAGGTGTTTGTGAAGCAAGCGTCATGTATGTACGAGGTCGGGAAATAAATTGATATGTGTATCTCGGAGAAATCTCTTGAAAGTGAAACAAATGTCAATGTGCTTCTCAAAGTTGTCTGATAAGGAAGATTGAGTTGTGAAGAGAAGAAGTTGAAATTCAATCTGATCGTCCTGATGGAGGCAGTTGGTATCTGACCTGTCTACCTTAGGCTGCTTCCTTCCTTGTCGTTGATCAGAGCAAGTGGGACGCCTGATATGCTCTAGGTAGGCAGTCAGCACCGATCCCTCGCTGTAAAGCTTGGAGAAATAGGGATGAAGTACCCACATATTTCTCTGAGAGAGAATCACGTAGCTCTACTTATGTTCTGTCAAATGCTGCCCTTGATGAATTTGTCCGGGCAATAGCTATCATAGACGTGTTCTCCATCATCTCTAAACTCACCTGTAACAAAAACACTCCAAACCAAAGAAAGGCAAGTGTCCTAATTTAGAGTGGAGTGGCTGAGCAAGGGCCTCCTTCTATCCCTGTGGCGTGGCGTCGAATTCCCATACGGAACGTGTTCTCGAATCGAATGCGCCTCCTGAATAGCGACTCTTTTGTCCTCCTTTATTATCCTCTTCCTGTCTTGTCTATTCTCATTTCTTGCCCCTCATCAACATCATCTACTTTCGCGCCTGGTGAGCGTGATTGTGTGATTGATTTTCTGGTCATTTTCTTGTTCTTTTCCGTATCGCGCACCTTCAGCTACTCAGCCTCACCCCATATGATCGCCAGTCGCTAATTGCTCGCTCTACTACCTAATCTGGCTCGACCTTACTTCTCTGATACGGTTACGGCCTCGATATATACTTCGATCGTTTGCGACGTCCGGTCTCTACAATATAGGCCCAAGTTACTCTACGAATAAGACCTTGGCGTGCTTGACCCAACATGCGCTTCTCGCCGCTTGCGATCCTCGCTGGGGTGTCGGCTGTAGCTCTGGCTGAAGAGGAGAGGAACCCAGTGACTGACCCTTCGACTTTTAATGGAAAGACTGTACCACCATTCAAGGAGCTGACGCCATCAAACTGGGAGGAGGAAACAAAGAAGAATAAGTTTTGGATGGTCAAGCATTACAGGTACGTTGAGCTGGGAAAGAGTGTGGTTCGTATGCTTATGAGTTATCAGTCCCTACTGTAAGCACTGCACGAGATTTGCTCCAACATTCCAGACACTCTACGAATTTTACTACACCTCGAAGCCCCCGACTGACAACCCGGACGACACTTTCACAAAGTACTACGATTTCGCATTCGGCACGGTGAATTGCGTTGCCTACTATGATTTCTGCATGGACCACAATATCCAGTCATACCCGACGACGATTCTCTACGAAGATGGAAAGGTGTTCGATACGCTGCGAGGAATTAAGAATATGACAGCGTTGACGACCTCGGTCGAGAATGCGCTATCCAAAACACATCCAGGACGTCCTGCACTCGTGGAATTGCCCCAACCTGGCGATACCGTGTACCCTGCACCCAAGGCTGAGGAGCCAGCCGCCGAGAAAAAGGTTGAAGGAGCTCAGGGAGATGCTAAGGCTCCAGTAGAAAAGCCCGTCGTTAACGCCGAGAAGCCCCTCGACTTCGTTGCTGAAAAGCCGGTTGAGGAGCCAGCTGGCAAAAATGCGGGCAAGTCTCTTGACGACATTACCGAATTGCCCAAGGATGCAGAGAAATTTGACAAGACCGAATCTACCGAGAAGAAACCCGAGGAATCTGCTGCTGCTAAAGACGACAACAAGAACACGTTTGGCGCTGATTGGAAAGTCCCCAGCACAGGCCAGATGCTGAAGAAGACAAAGCCCAAGGATACCACCCCTAAGTACAATTTGGAGGGTACTAGCGTGCCTTTGACTCCCGAAAACTTCGACAAGTTGGTCACAAGCTCGAAGGATCCTTGGTTTATCAAGTTCTATGCGCCTTGGTGCTCTCACTGTAAGGCAATGGCCCCTACGTGGCAGCAGTTGGCCAAGAACATGCAAGGAAAGCTCAACATTGGTGAGGTCAACTGTGAGGCGGATCACAAGCTTTGCACACAAATGGGCGTCAAGGCTTTCCCTACCATCTTCTTCATCACAGGTACCGAAAAAGCTGAATACAAGGGTCTCCGTGGAGTCGGTGACTTTGTTGCATACGCCGAGGGTGCGCTTGAAGTTGCTGGTGGCGTTATCGATGTCGATGCCGAGAGTTTCAAGGAGCTCGAGAAGACCGAGGAGGTTCTCTTTGTTTACTTCTATGACCATGCCACTACTACCGAAGACTTCAAGGCACTGGATGCCCTACCTCTCAACCTCATTGGGCGGGGCAAGATTGTCAAGACAAGCGACCCTGAGCTTTGCTCTCGATTCAAGATCACAACTTGGCCCAGACTTCTGGTCTCTCGCGAGGGACGTGCTACTTACTACACCCCTATCACTCCTGATGAGATGAGAGATGTCGATTCTCTAGTCTCCTGGATGAAGTCTACTTGGCTCCCGCTTGTTCCCGAGATGACTGCCATTAACGCCAAGCAGATCATGAACCATAAGCTGGTTGTGCTTGCAATTCTGAACCGCAATGATGAGGACCGTCTACAAAACTCAATCTCAGAGCTCAAGAACGCCGCCAACGAGTGGGTTGATCGCCAGGTGCAGGAATTCCAGCTTGAGCGTAAGAAGCTCCGAGATGCTAAGCAGATGAGAATCGAGGAAGCCCAGAGCCGTGACGATCAGCGTGCCCTTCGTAATGCCAAGGCCATCAAGATTGATATGGACTCTACCCGCCGTAAGGAGGTTGGCTTCGCTTGGGTTGATGGTATTTTCTGGCAGAGGTGGATTGCCACCACCTACAACATCGACGTACGAGATGGCGAGCGTATCATCATTAACGAGGAAGATGTAAGATTTCTAAAAGGCTCCTGCGATTGACTATACTAACAAATTCACAGCGACACCAGTTCTGGGACACCACCCCCACTGGCAACCAGATCATGGTTAGCCACACCTCTATCATGGACACTCTCGACAAGATTGTCTACGGCCCCAACCCAATCTCTCCCAAGTACACTATCGGTGCTTTTGCCAAGTTCTTCTTCGATATCAAGATGAACTTTGTCGACCATCCATTTCTGTCAATGGGCTTTGTCATTGCCGTTGGCTTTGGTCTCTACTCTTGGATTCGTAACCGTACCAGACGGTCTCGCGGCACTTTCTTCCGCATGGACGACTCTCTTGGTCTTAAGGATGGTCTCCTGGGACAGAACGGTAACGACAAGTCTGACTAGACTTGCAGCCTGTGAAACAAGCGGTGTTGAGGGGAAAGCCAGAAGAGAAAATTGGACTGATGCTTGTCAATGCGAATCGACAGGGTTTATTGGAATGGGTTCACAACAGGATTTGCTATAGTCATGTGTTGATAAATTGCGGAGTTTTGGGTTTGATATCTATTTATTTAGATTGCGTGTCACTGTATACTGATTGAGCTGATGCGGGAATACCACGCTTGCGTACATATGTTACGTTCCGTCCTACCCTTGAAGTTAACGTATGTGCTTAAAACGTTCTGATGCAGTGACCCCTTGTTTCGATTCTTTCTCTTGCCTCTTGTCTCATTTAGACTTGACTCTCATATGAGATTTCACACTATGGTTGTACGACCTAACACATCAAGTCAAAGAAAGGCACCATGGGGGTCTTCAGGGTAGTTGAGACCTTGCTATGTATTAAAGTTGTGTATTGCTATTTCATATATCTCCTGAAGCTCGACCTATGTGTCCAATATTGACCCATGAACGAGGCAAGATATAACCAATCAATTCCAAGCGTTTACTGCCTTTCCTGCCCAAAAACTCTCCCTCTATTCTCGATCAAGGAAGAAGGTTAGGGCTAGCTAATAGGTAAGTAAGGCTTTTTAGCTAATATATATATAGCTAGGTTTAGGCTATAATTAAGGCAGCTAATTATAATAATTTAACTTAATAAAGCTTTACTAGCTATAAGGGTAATAAATATTTATATTATATTAAAGTTTAGAAATACTTAAATATACCTTTTAAGGCTAATTTATAAACTTAAAAAAAAATATTATATATAATAGCTATAAATATTAAAAAGGCCTAATTTAATAAAAATAATATTAATTATATTAAAATAATAATCTTTAATTATAAGAACTTTTTACTTATATAGCCTATTTATAAAAACTTTTTAATTAATAAAGATTTTTTTTAAATATAAAAAGTAAAAGCTTAAGAATTTAAAAAAAAAAATTATATAAAGGGATATAGCTAAGTAAGAGAAACAGGGGGTTTTTTAAGGCCCTTAATAATAGCTTATATAATAAGTAACTTAAAGATATTTAATAATAGGCTAAGGAGGTATTAAAGAAAATTAAAAACTTATAATATAATATAAATAAAAGTAAAATAATTATAAGTTTTAAAGGAAAATATATTAAGTTTTATATATATATATATATTTTTTCCCCTTGCCTTCAGCCTTATACGAGGCCATCAAGCTTTTTAGCTTTTCTATCAATAGTTTAAACAGTAAGACCCCTATAGCAGGCCATCATCACAGAAGTCAGAATCAGATAAGGTTTATCTGCCTCAATGACGCGATTGCTGCCTTAACCAAGCAGTACTAATACCAGTTACATCTCAGCAGCTGGATCATGTAAGTTAGTTGGCGAAAGTCAAATCGACCTCAATCAATTGAATGCACGTGGTGGGGCACGTGACCAATCGACCTTGCGTACGAGAACAGATAAAGTGAAATCAGTGAAAAAGCAGTGGTCTAAACTGGGGAAGTTTTATATAAGTTTAAG